CATTGATGAAATAGTGCCTCGTGCGGTGCGCAACTATCTGGTATAGATTATGCAATGCAAGGATCAATACATACATCGTTGGTGGACTTCATTGCGTTAAAAGGCCACGAAGCTGCGAGGTATTAATAGCCAGCCTACCTCAGAGCACGTAGTCAGTTGGTTGATGTTGTTCCTTTACATATACAGACATGATTCCTCCAACTCGAACATGAAACCAACAGCAAGATTATATGTGGATTAACGCAGTGTAGTGTCTCAAGCAGCAGAGCCTTCATTGGCCAATCCCATGCACTCCTCGGGTTACTACTGCACGAGCACGTTGCTCGTCACCAACACCTGATGGGAAACGATAGTGTGCGGTGATCCAGCCGCTTCACCTACCGGCTTTGCCGAAAATATAGTTTCTCGCTGTTATCAGCTATGTAGCCCATTCAAAGTACAGATTGGAAAAGATGCAGAGTAAGGCAAGAGTATGACTCGTCACTAAATATGTGCCAACAGCATTAAGCTAGCTAACCACTTTTACACGCAAAATAACCGGCCTTTGTCCTGGATTTCCTAGTTAGGATTCAGGGCAGTATCAGTCTCAATGAGAGGATAGGGAGTATATATCTCAGCAAAGAATACGTAAAGCTGGGGCATGACCTTGAGTATAGGTACACATTATGTACGAGAACAGAAACTTTGGCTACCGTCTACATCTTAGAGCTATCGAGCATATTTTCAGATCATTGGTCCGCTCTTCCAGTACAATTCAAGGTGAGCAGGGGCCTTTTATTTTATGTGTTTACCAGCAACGTTATCCCTCTCCAATAATATCTAAAATGTAAGGCAACATATGAATCGTTTTATCTATCATTTAAAATCTTAACGTTGATATCGGATTGTTGGTTTCCCAATGCTATCTAGCAACAATATATAAGCACCTCAGCAAGTAAAAAACCGTATAATAAACGAACGTCATACATTCTTCATATTGTAGTAGTTCTACCAAAACCTTTTTATTTAAAGCTCACACAAGCAATGGCTTGTGCCCCTAAGTTTTCAGAGATGAATTGCCGCTCCGAGAGGCGGCGACCGGGCTGCATTTCAGCTCACTACATCCGCGTCTCCACATCGTTCAATTTTATACCGTACAAAGGGAAGCGATAATAAGAGCTATCAAAGACATGGTTCTATTGACACATTGATATGAACTATTCATCTGACTGTGACTGATAAGTCATGGTAGAGATGGTCTGAGTTGGATAGAAACAAGATTCAGGTTAGTTGTTGGTCCAACAGGAAAAGCAAAAATCAAAACCCTGATAATTTAAGATTCAGCAGAAATTCCGCAGATAAATCTGCCTCAATGCGCTAGGTCTCAACTGGAATATCCTTGTTCACAAAATCTACTGCTGCTACGTTATGAGTCTCGCAGAATATAGTGCAACATGATATAAATGTGATTGGATCTCTTCAAAATATCATTGATTAGTGATATATGAATAGTATATCGAATACCTTTATCTCATACCATGCTGAGTTTGTAAGCTAACGTCGTCATCTATCGATGAGTAATCGATCAAATATGTACGGTATGGAGCCGATAATTATCATTGGCCGTGCATGAAAGATTCCTTCCTATGGGAAAGCGCAACCAAATCCATCATATATGTGATTGTCACATTTCTTTTATGTTGCTTTTTCTATCACTCCCAAAAGCTGATTTAAGACATACCGGCCGTGTGACAAGAAGAATGGAATTTTGATATTTACCACAAGAGTCCCAAAGCTGAGCAATATGCCATGAAGCCCATTTCCCACAATTCATTCACCGTTTCTACTTGGCATCTCCATCTCTCACTCCAACAGCCATAGCATCATAGTACCTATCTACATGTACGCAGGATATGAACTGGGGCCGAGTTTTATATACATGAGAAACGCATGGTTCGTCATATCACTTTCATGTCTTTCGGGCGCATATCTGTGGAAATGGATAGCTAAAAAATACATGCTAGGAACCTTGATGTCGCCTCTATCAAATGATGCAAGAAATAACCCAATTGGACTTCCCACAATTTTGACCCCGGAGCAGCATAGGATTTCAACCCAAACCGAGTTCATACATTAGACGAGTTAACCAACCAGGAAACACAACGTAGCTCGGAAAAAGTTTACCCAAGGTTACTCTGGCTCTGGACTCACTTCATACTCTCAAGATCGACTGGACATAAAACGGGGTCAACAAGGTAGATATCAAGTCCATTGCTTTCAGAGATACTTGCAATTTTTTCTTCTTTTTTCTATTTTATCCTCCATGTGACGACAGACACAGCGGTAGCATATGCGGCTGGGCCAGGATCTAACACACCAATTCACATAGCGAATACGAGAATTGATATTTGTCATAGTCCCTTTACAACGTCAGTCTCTTGGTTATTTTTCAAACGTTGGTATGGAACATGGAATGTGGAGTAAGTAAGTCCTAGAAGCGTACTGCCTTATCATAATAATGAACGGCCCACCGGAGTGTATACTTGGAGAGATAAATTCAATTTATCAAATTAATCTATTAGCGGCGACTCAGTCGGGTACTCGGAAGTTTTCCGGACGCCCGTTATGTTTTTGAAATCTCAAAGCTATATATTCAATTCGTCGGTAGCCCTAAACCCGTAGGTCCGTCGACATGCCTTAGATATGCGAGGACTGAACGACACATTGCCAGCATCGCCGAGACTTGCATCTAGCGCGTGTCACACATGTGGTGTGTATGTATATAGTATGTGCGTGATTCACTCATATAGTAAGGAAGAGAATTAGAATTGTTCCATATATACTACCTTGATTACTGCATTGGCAAGCAGCATAGGAGGTTATCGAGCTTAGAGCTAGGAATGCTTGACTTCATTGTCTTCACCATAGAAGATATTTGAAAGGAGAAGTCGCGCTATCTATCCTCCCCTCCCCCTTCCTCTTCCCCTTCCGCCCCCGCGTCCCCTCCCAGCCCTTCCCCCTCTCTTGGCCTTGGGGCGCGTAGTCGTGTTTTTATACAACAATTCCTCACCAAACGCCATCTCGCTGAATCTCATATAACTGATCAATCCACGATCCACGATGGCGACAATGGCATTTCGCCACCCATGTTTGAGGCGCCTGTATACAAAGCCTGCGCCATGTTTCCCTTCTTTCCCCTCTGGGGGATCCCATGGTGTAGATAAGAGCAATGTGTCTAGTTGCTCGAGAGTAGGGATGCTCGAGTCGCGCGCATCTGCCACTTCCATCTGGAAGTCAGGTGGCGGCGGTCTTGTCTTCATGAAGGATGACGAGCTCTTCCAAATGTAAAAATGGATTTTGAAAGGGTCTTGAGGTTGGGGTACCTCTGACGCTGCGAGTGGAGTAGGTTTATGCCTTTGTATAAGGGCCAGTTTCTCGAATATAGGTACGTATGAGCGATATAGACCTGGTCTGACGAGCGGCCCATATTCTGGATAGCTAGAGGGTAGAGTAATGAGGTTGCTTGTGTTTTGTAGAAGTGAAAACAGCCATCGCCAAAGTGGCTCTCCTGTCTGTGGTGATGGTGGCAATGGAGTCGCGCGGAGAACTCGATATCCTATACGCCTGAGGTTGGCGTAAACCTGGTACTTCTCGAGGGTTATCTTTCCTCTCTCTCCATCTGGCCCAATGAAGAGCGCATACGCGGCCTGTAAACTGAGAGGGATTCCCCGCTCGTAGTCTTCAAGCTTCTTTGAATTCTCTTGCGGTCCTTCTGAATCTGATTCCGGTTCCTCGTCTGCGGGGAGAATATCCTCGATTCCTCGAACCGGCCACCATAAATCCAGCGTCCCTCTCTCAATCAGGAACAGGGCTTCCTCTGGTAGTAACCATGTCTTCAACCGCCCCGGACTAAGCTTCTCAGCGGTTGTAACGACACGGCCCATCGACGTCAGCATGGTGCTCTTATCCGATTCAAGCGCCACAACCCGTTCTCTGGCAAAGAGGCCCCGTGCGGTATCACGAGCTTTGGCCCCCCGACTGCCCGGCTGTACCTCGGCCGCAGCACCACCTTCGGACGGCATGTCGGCCCATCGATCGGGAAAATACCATCCGCGCAAAGCATTGCGAGGCTGGTGTTGACGAGTGTAGCTCAAGACTTCATGCATTGCCGAGCGACTCGATTCGAGGACCGACTCCTGCGCGCGCGTGCCGTGCGACTCGAAGTCCTTCTCGCCGCGCCGTATGGCCTTACCAGACGCCTGTGACTTCTTCCCGGGGCCTGCGAGAAGCGAGGTGAACAGTCGGAAGTCCTGTGCCTGGTCGCCGTCCTCGGCGTCAAAGAGGCCATCATCACCGGCAGAAGTGAGCGGCGTGGGAGCCACGTCCTCGTCGTCGAATGGCATCTGCGCTGGAAGAAAACTGGGATGGCAAAACGTAGAGATGGCCACCCCGTTTTCCCGACGGTCCCGTGTTGTTTGAGTTTCCTACAATCTCTATGTGCGATAAAGTAGAGAAATAATGTAATGGTATAGGGATTCCGAGATTTTGGTCTGGTGCTAGAGGGGCAGAGGCTCAGATTCTTGTGATGTTGGATGGGCTAAATAGGACCTAGGGGGAGGTGGTACCTGCATACCGATAGCTCTAGTGGGGTGCTATTATGTACCTAGTCTCGTCCATTTTTTGTCCTGGCCTAAATACCTTCCTTCACCACAGAAAATGCTATCTATACATGCCTACTTTAACAGCAAAAAATATATATATACATATACAACATCAATACTTGATTTTTTAATTATTATTTTTTATACTGTACTTTATATAGTACAGGTATTTTGTTCGGTCTTGAAAAATCATGGACAGGGCCTTTTTAAAGCCACTGTAGGTAGGTAGCTGTAAGTGCTTGCTGCCCGCAGAAGACACCGCCCAGTGATTATGTAGTTCTCTTAAGAGAAATAAAACGTAGTAGTTGAATTGAAAATCCAAACAAGAAAAATTAAGGAAAATTAAAAAAAGAAAATTGATGAGAGCCGCAGGATTCGAACCTGCGCGGTTTCCCACTGCGGGAATTATGGTTAGACGGGCTCAAAACCCAGCCTAGACCTAAACACAGCGCCTTAACCACTCGGCCAGACTCCCAATTGATATCAATCGCTCCGGTTTGCAAACCTAAGTTCCACGCACCAAACTGGTGCGTGGCGTGTGAAATGATTGATGTGAGCCTTTGCCATAGACAGCAGAATAGCATGCGAGAATCATAGCTGTTCACTAATGAAGTTAACTGCCCAACTGGCTTTTGCTTTCCATCTTCTTCGGTTTCACACCTGTGGCGAGACTTTCTATGTTTTATTGGCTACCTTTTAAATAAGGGAAGCGAGGGTAAGTGCGGTAGGCGGATAGGATGACTCGCATGAAGTAGTGATAAGACGATTATCTAGGAAGAACATTCTACTTCGCAACTGTATCTGATGTATATTGCTCATTATATGCACCAGCCTATATGACCTCACCTTTGTAGCATATATAACGAGAGCTTGTGTTTGATCATCAGCTGAAAATATTAAGTGTGAGGGGGATAGTTAATAACTAAGCTAAGGTCCTACATGTAAAAGTTTAGCTTGTGGGTAGATTGAGATAGGTAACTTTTAAAAATGTTATCTCCTTGCTATTCATCGCTTTATTGGTAGAGTCCCGATTTTGGGACGTTGGGATTTCTTAGTATTTTGGCAGTGGCCTTTCTTAAATAGCTTAATTTGTTCGAGGCTATATCCAGACTGCGATGATTGCTAAGAATTGAAGCCTCCCATTTTAGCCCCAAACACCCCACCATTCCGCACTCCACTCAGCTACCATCGTGCTATGTTCGGAACTTGCCCCGCTTCCCGTGGCGGGAGAGCCCATCGGTCCCGATCCGCCATCTCACATAACCAGCCAGCCAGCACCGTAGCCCCGATCAGGAATACCAACTACATGATCGTCGTCAAGTCCAAGCGTGAGGATCAGATAGCTTCGTCCTCGAGTGCTATGGCATTGACTACGTAAGACTTTCCAATGTGGGACCCACAGTCAAGAAGCCTTTCCCCTCATCATTTTTATGTTGAGTATGCTAATTTGCTGGATGGTAGTTTATTTGATGCTTCTATTATATGTAAGGCTCTCCTTGAAGTCAACAATAGCATATTGAAAGTTTGTGCTTGGCTGTCAAAGTCTCCACACGAAGAACGTTCTTGGTAGACAATCGATATGCACATGAAACAACCTTTATTCCAAGATTAGGTCGTTCGGGGGTATTGTATAGCCTGGATTACAGTTAAATCATTTTCCGTCCTGACATCCCGGCTCCTTTGATTAGAACCCCTGGGAGTTCCAGAACGCCTTCAGATCCAAGACCATCATTAAAAACGTCTCACCTGAAAGGCAATCCCATCCCGACATAGCCGTCATAACAAATTGTACGTGATCGTATGTTGACCGCTTCGGGAAAGCAGATAATGCTTAATATGTCAGAATCCACTCTAAGTCGTCAAGACGCCTAAAAACGCCAATGAGACTGATGCGCCGTTAGCCTTTGAGGCTATACCATGCCCCCCTACTCTCAGTTATCCCGTAGACCTCCAAGGCTTCAGGTCGAACTACAACGTCCCGTTTGGTCTTCGGGATGGAGAGAAGAGAACAATGATGATTTGGCTCCTCAAATCTGATTCAATAACCCTTTCTTCCGTTGTAATCACGACTGGTAATTATTAGAGACCCCAGCCTGCTCAGGCTGTTTGGTTTCCAAACAACTGCATTGAGTGTTTGGCCGAACCGCTCTGGACTTTCACGGCCCAAAATGCCTGAGATAAGAGTAGATACGGGTCTCATAACAGTTATTGGCTAACGTCATCATAATGTTGGCTGCTGGCAATGCAATACCGCGGGATGGCGATTTCTGTGACTGAGACAGGTAGTCTCATTCTCCTGATGTTGGTACGAGACAAGCGCCAAGCTGCGTTGTTGGCGCTCAGTGAAATCTTGGTGACTGTAGTGAGCATGGCCTGTAGCGATGATGGTCATTGCTGCCAATCGTTTACGATGGCTGTCTTCTGGATTTTCTTAAATTTAAGACGTACACAGCTTATACTCATTCAATGAGGGGTTTCTTCTGTCCTCCTACAAGACAAAGCCCTAATGTCGCTAGGGCGTTAGGATCGCTGGCTAATACAATATTCCGCGCTGGTAGCATGGGGTTGGCTTGATCCACAGACGAAGAGTCTTTGGCTGATTGCTCGATAGCATCCATCTCCTCTTTACAGGCTTGGTGATCCAGTGGGCAGATCACAATAGGTTGCCGAAGAGTAATATCTCTAGCCGAAGTCATGCTTGCCTTCAAGTTTTGTCACGTTAGTAGAGAGATCCATTGTTTCCTGAAAGACCATGAACCGCAGATCACACACATACCTTGATGCTCAGGAAGAATTCTATTTTGTAAAGGGTTGATGTTGTGGTAAAAGATGTGACCTCATAATTGGGAAACGCCGGCTGCCCCCTCCGGATGACTCCATTCGAATCGCGCAAATCTTTATGTGGAAATATAACATCCATATTTGTCACATAGCCGTTCTCAGATAACTTCGTCCCCACATTATGGGTCTGCTTTTGTATCCGGTTGACCTTCTTCGTCGGTTCGTCGCCTTCGGGGTTGAAGGTTATCTCCTCCTCGATAGCTAAGGTAATGCTCTTTACTGTAACTTTTCTAGCCTTGGCCATCCAGTCCAAATTGGGAGCAAGTTTGATATAGACTGTGATCGGGTCCGTTGGACCATAACTCCATCTCGGTAATGATATCACAAGCGTCACAATATTGTCGGTAGTGGCAATCTTGGTCTCCGGGCGATTGTACATTCCAAATGTTGACAGTGTGTCATACCGCTGCAAGGGAACTGGGAATGCGTACTTGTTTTGCACGCTTTGTCCTTGTTGCACGGTAACGACCAATTCATAGTACGTTTCAGCAGTCCTACTAGGAAGCTGTAACGATGCCGGCGGTATCCTTCTATTTGTCTCCTCGCCTCCCCGTCCGAAGGGTATAAACAAAACAAAGGGTAGGTCCATGGCGATGACATTCTCGGCCTCTCTACCAGACGCGCATCGATATAATAAAAGCTCTTTGCCGACAACATCGGTCGTTTCCCTTCGAGGGGTGCCAAGATGGCGCTTGGCTACGTTTTCCGCGGCCGGATGAATGGTTTCTCTTCGTTGCAGACATATTCGAACAAGGGAGATGGCGACAGGGGCGGAAATGCCTTGCTGTGGGCGAATTTCGACTTTACCTTCGATGCGCGGCTACAGAGCTATGTTAGCTAACTTTTGCTCGCCAGAGTTCGCCTTCAGCCAATGCGTGCAAGATGAATGCAGACACAGGAGGTTGTATGAGCGAGCTCTCAATACGATGGCTTCCCCGAGAAGCTCGGAGACCAGTGAAGAGCGTAGCACAAAGCGACAGCCATACAGCACCGGAGTCCGGACCATGACAACCATAATGCACTTACCACCGTCGCGGAGATGCCTGGATATCCGACCAAGAAGCTGCTATTTGGCGGGCCCGAAACACGGACGAAGGCGGCCACTCGATCCGTCATATTTTATCGCACGAGATGATCGGCATAAGGTGGCGATGCTAGGGATGTGTATACGGCGATGGCGGGGTCGGGATTCAGGAACGGCAGCAACAACGGCACAGTGTCGACCACATTCATTCCGTGTCTACAGCCGTGCGCCGGCGGACGGACAAATCCAGCGCGGTACACGTGGGTGATGCAGGCGCAATCACGACAGCGCAAAGGAGCTGGTATGCAAGATAGAAATCACCGACGGGCGACTGGCGACGCTATCGAAGATTTCGGTATCGTCCTCTTCAGTTGTCGTCGATAAGGGTTTGGTAGGTTCGCAGTAACAACAACAGCCGAAAACCAATTTGCGGGGGAGGAGGAGCGATTGGCGGGAGGCTGAGCTTTCAGCTAGTCTCTCGAACGTAATACCTAAGCGTGGCGGTTGTCCGTATTGATAGAGAGCGTAGGGGACGACGGGCGAGTGCGAATGCGGCGGCGGAGGTGAGAACGGGGAGAATAAGTGTGTTGATTGATTGATTGATTGACTGACTGACTGACGTTTACACTAGATTTGGATTCAGATTAGTTCGCTAAGGCTGCAAATAGAACGACGCTCCACCAAGGCGCCGCAACAAATAGATGCTGGACGGTAGTGTAGTGCGGGCGGCCCATGTATTCATGTATTAGGTTGATTGAGCCAAGGGCAAAACAAGGGCAGCTAGCCAGGGGATGAGAGAATGGATGGGGGGTGAACAGATGCCTGTGAGGAGCGACGAATTAGTGGCTAACGAAAGCGACAGACTGACTAGATTGGTTCCAGGTATAGACCGGACACAGGCCCGCAGGTTCAGATAGCAGGTAAGGTGAGAGCCCTGTACCTTAGGTGCGATAGCATAACCTATCAACTCTTACCAACAAAGGTCACACCGCCCTGTAGCAAGCTCCCCACGATGCAACAGGTCTTCAAGGTCTTCACAATCGCCTCTCTTTGTGATACATGGGAAGCAAGTATTAAAATAAAGCGAATGATGAGAGAATCAACTACCCCAGGTAATGAGAGAAGAAATGGTGTTTACTAATTGTGGACTTTATAGTCAATAAATGTTGATCATGCTTTTGCTACAAGTACGGGGTGGGCAGTGCATACTGTTGGAATATCAAGGGAACGAATCGTAACGGCAACGAGAAAACGAGTATGGCAGAGAAAGCCGAGGACCAAGTTTCAATAGGTGACGGTTGAGTAAAAATACTATATATATGTGCAGCTCAGGGACAGGGTCGCAGACATGAATTATTGAGATGGAGATTGTGTATTGATGGTACCTTAGTCAAAGTAAGGTTTCTGCTGTCCGACAGGTTGACATGAGTTAGGCAGGGAGACAGGCAGGTCCCGAAGAGTCCCCACACAGTTATACTACATGTAATCATGGATGTTGATATAGTTATACGGGGGTATCAGCAGACACTTCAACACCGCTATATACACTACCTACGATATCTAGATGACAAGATGAATACACCGGCATTGCTTACACGATGGCCAGATCA